GCTCATAATTCAAATATCTTTTATGAACTGCGAAAGCAGTTCCGGGGGTTGGTGAGCGCCAGCGAGCAGGGGGCGAAGCCTCCTAGTCTATTTATAACTCTTTATTATTAATTTCTTACCACCAAAACGTTTCAGTTACATGGTTATACTAATTCTCAAAGTCTTTTTGGCGATCTGCTTTTATAAAATTATTCTCTAATTTAATAATGGCTTGGCTTTATTTTTGGCTATGTTATATTTCGTAAAATCGCCAACCATGGATCTCTTCCGATGTTCAAAGTGTACATTGGGAAAAATTCATTTGCTTCCAATTTCCAATTTTTGGCGATTGGACTCGGGGGCCTTTGAGCCTCTCAGTCCCAACCGTTGAATATTTAACAGAAATTCTCGATGTGAGAAGAATGATTTTTTTTATCCCTTGAAGGGACTTTTTTTATATACAGGGTGATTCTAAAAAGATGGGAAAAATTTTAGAAAGTGATAGTACACACCGAGACAAGCAATTTTTATCAAGGAATGCATGGTCGAAATCAAAACCCAAAACCGCTAGAGGGCGTCAAAGTTTATGTTCTTATATGAGGCAAAAACACACAAAGAACGATGAAGTTAAGTTATAAAAGCAAATTTAATGGCATGTGATTGCAATAAGTGTTCAAAATAGTGGCCGGCAGCGGCTATGCTGGTACAACGGCGAAGAAAAGATAGGCTAACTTTCCCTGCTGCGGCCGAAAGCTTGGCGACAAATAACGTAGCGCAGTAACTCGAAATAGGAATGGAGCCTTCTCGTTTGCATGAAAAAACTTTCCAAATGCGCCAGCACCTTTGCGTTTTGTTTCCGACCATGCATTCTTTGAAAAAAATTGTTTGTCTGGGTGTGTACTATCACTTCCTAAAATTTTTCCCATCTTTTTAGAATCACCCTGTATATATATTTGAATGTGGCCATGTTCTACTTAACATTTACTTAATAATTAATTTTTTCAAAACGAATGGGATAATATCCCTATATCACATCCAAATTAAGATGTATCTGTAACCAACAAAAGTATGCTTAATACTACGATGGTGCTACCTAAGCAAACCACTAAATTGAACTGAGCAACCGCCATTACATAGAATATAATTTTGACAACATTTTAAAAGCCTCACTGCGAGAGAGCTGGAACAAAGTGGTATCGAGATAAACTTTTGAATTGATTACATGTAGTGGTGTGGAATCTTACTTTAACTCAAATCTACAAGACAAAGAATAATGCATAAAAACATAAACTTAGCTACTACTAGAATAAATTTTCACAAAGAGCATAGAAAGCTGACAGCCCCACAAAATTATTGCAGTGGTAAGTAAATTTTTTTTCTTCATAAAATTTATTTCACCTTTTTAAAAAGCTAACAAAAAGTATTCCTGATCAGCACAAAAATTCGATAACTTTAATGCAGAAAAAAAAATGTGAAGTGGAAGGAGTGAGCATTGACGTGGTTGCTAAACTAAGTGAATTTCTACTGCTTCGATGATAAGTTTATTACCACTCTAATAGTTTCGAGGGACCACTGAACACCTGTTGTTGTGTTTACAACCTTAATAAAAATACAACTCTTAGCTTGAATATTTCTTTTTTCAAGTTTTTTAAAAATGGTACGAACCTTAATTTATCTATATGTTTTATGCTTATTTTAGAAATATACTGAAAATAATTATAATAAAAATATATTTAAATAACTCACCTTATATAGCGACGAAGAATGTATATTGGTACACTAATTCTACCCTTTGTTTTAATCATTATTTTTAAAACAGTGTAGCTTGTCAAAAGACCACTAAAATAGGAAATAATATTAAATGATGATAAAATTAGCTAAATAAATATATTATTATAGCAAATGTATACTGAGAGTTTTAAGTGGTTTGATGAAGCTCGACCAATAATTGCTTAGAAAGCTTTAAGAGCTAATCATGTTTTAAATATTATTTACCAAAACTTATTTTAAGAAAATAGCAATTCTTTAATTTATATATTATTTTTTTAAATCCATCTGCGATTAGACATAATTTTAATTGAAGTAATTGGAAAGTTGAAAACGTAGTATTTGGAATAGAAAACTTTACACTTAATTTGTGTAGTAGCTTTGTGTATTAGATTTAAAATGAATTGCATTGCTACAACATTACATAAAAACATAGCATACATGTGCTCGAAATATGATAATAATATAACTTTGTTGTTGTTGTTGTCTTGTCCAGTAGTGAAAGGAAAAGTAATGTTGTCCAAAAGTATCTATAACAGCTTTGGCCACATCAATAATCTCTAAGGAATAGAGGAGTTGCTGTAGGGGATCCAGATGGATCCTGAAGAGCTTTGCCAGTATGGCTGGGCAATCAAAGACATGGTCGGGAGAGAGTTCGGTGTCGATGCAGTGAGGACAGCTTCTGTATCTGTAACGACGATGGCCATCGGGAGATATTTTCATTCCCTTGAAGTGTTTAGTCCTCAATCTAGCTATGGTTGTGATAATGGCTCGATCACAGTTTAGGGCAGGGATGGAGTGCTTCAGAGAAGTGGTAGAAAGTAGTCTGCGGCTGGCTATCGCATCAGCATCAGTTAGGGTCAGGCTGTTGGAAAGTTGGGAGTTATCTCGGGCCTCCTTGGCCTGGACATCTGCTTTCTCATTACCATCGATATCGACGTGTGCTGGAATCCATTGAAGGATAGAAGTTCTTTGGGCCGTGGTTATTTCGTTTAAGAGCAGGATGATATCTTGGGTGAGTTGGGAGTCTCCTCTTAAAATGGCCTGGAGGTCAGAGCGAGAGTCCGAGAATAACAAAAATCCATTAGAATTTTGGATTGCCTTGGAGTAGTAGAGGTTTAAAGACTCCTTTTGCACTACTCATGGAAGAGAGTTGCCAGAGCCTCCTAGGATGTTGGACTTCTGCCTGTTGGTCCGCAGAAGATATTTTATTTCCCTTCTGCCACCCGAAGGAAACCAATGGAGGCATTCCCCGATCCGCCACCTGGGAACGCGCCCTCTAGGGGTCACAGGCTCCCCCGAGGATAATTTAATTACTGATAATTTAAGTAATTAAATTTCCCTCGAGGGTTTTAACTTTGTAAAAAGTAAATTAAAACCATTTTTTCCTGATATTAAAATAATACTTCGAATACTTTGACAAGACAACTATTTTTACAAGAAATAAAACTTAGAATACTTTGCTGTTACTTTTTCTCAAAAAGAAAGCTTTTTTTTTCTCATTTCCATGAGAAGTAAATTTGGTGTTTAATCTAATCATATATATTTTTCTTTTTTTAAAAAAAAGGAAGAAGAACAAGAAATTTTAGAATCCTCTTCATTTAGATTACACAAGAACGATTTTAAGCTCTGACTGCTACTCATTATTCTCAAACAATAGTGGCTTGATTATGAATTAAAGGTATATTTCTTACGAAATTACCATTTGAAGTTTCGATTTTTGGACGGAAGCGAGTTTACACCAATTACCCACTTGGAAGTCTTTTTAATTTTTAAGATAATTAGATAAACTATCGTTTCCATATATTAATTTCCCTTTATCGAGAGACATGATCATATTTTGCAAGAAAATAAGTAAGTTGAGTCATTGCATGTTAAAAGTCATCCAGTTCCTTATAAAAATGAAGCAAAAAATTCAGTACTGGTAATAACTTGCTTAAGCCCCCGACAAAATTTCCCACCACGACCTATTCAGTACTCTCAAACTTTTCGTTTAATGCCGAATCATGAGTAAAATTGTTTCTTTTATATATGTAATCCAATAGTTCTTTTAAAAAGTTTTACTAAAAAAAATAGTATGGAATAAAATGTAGAATAAAAACTAATGTACAATCAAAACTTTAATACATTATAAAGTGACGAAACTTCATTTATTACATTAAATATTTTAAGAATGTTTAGTTTTTTTTCTCCAGTTAACCATTGCTAATGAATTTTGTTTTTAAAATCGGGATTTTGCCGAAGGAAGCTTAATTTGTTAGGGTTTCGTAGCCGAAAAATTGGGAACTGTAATTATAGAATTTTCCGTTTAAATGAATTATTTCCTAATAATTTATTTTTACAATCAGAGTATTATATCTTTGGTTTTGTTCTTATGAATTGGTAATGCTCTTTTGCGCTCATGAAAAAAAAATTTGATTCCTGACCTGACAATTAATAACTTAAATAATGCATATGTAACGATTTAGTTGTCAAATTTATGCATAATTTGTGTCGTCATGGTTAAAACTAGGATCGAATTGACTAATATATTAATGAGTTAAAAATTTCCTAAATTATCTTTACTTAATGACTAAAAACCCGAAGCTAGAAGATTTAATTTCGCTATTACTAATTTACTTTAATTTAAAGATTGTGAGCACCATAAATATAAATTAGAAAATAAAATAAATTTAATCAGTGATTAAACATTACCTCATAAAGAAGAAAGTTTCAACTGCAAGCCAAGTATTTAAAATGAGTCCAAAATCAATACTGTTGAACCAATTGGGAATTATGTCTGGTCTACCTAAAATAAAAGTGCATTGAATCAACGATAGTGAATAGAAATCTGCTGTTTTAACTCTATTCTCCATTAGGTTTTATCTAAAATGTAACTTTTATAGTGTTTAATTCATATCACCACTAATAGTATTTTAAACTAACAGTATTTAACACTAATATTATTAATAGTATTAACACTAGAGACACTAATGGTATTTTAAAAAAAGGGTGGCCAACAACTATAATTTTTGCAAAATATTTTATACAGTGCTGGACAATCATAAACTTAAGCTTTCAGAATTTAGGTTAATTTTGCAACATTTTAAAAGTCTTATAATAGAAGAACTGGAAGAAAGTGGCATTTCATATGAAGTTTTTAATTTTTCACATATCGTGTCGTGGAAAATAACTTTATTTAAAATTAACTTAGCAACTTAAGAAATGTTTCCGTGACTTTTCTTAAACACATATTAAGCGGGCAACTTTTGTAATTATTTTCTAAAACAATTTCACCTTTTTAGAAAAAGAAAAGCTTTTAAGAGTAGCAACATAATTTTATTGAGACTGGTACTCATTTGTCACTTCAATTCATCCCTTAAAATGACTTTAGTTCACCCTCAATGATGACTGCAAAATTATTGCTGTTGTTGTCGTACGCCATTAAGGCAAGGGATGCGGATGTTCTTGTTTTCCTTCTATGGCCAAGAATTCGATTTCTACCACACCCATACTTAACACTATTTATAGGGTGGACACATTTATATACTATTTATACAGTCATCAACAGATCGTAATTGTGACCTGAACCAGAGAACGATCTATCTTCAATCCAGTACCACGACAGATTTAACGTGCACCAGTCACCATTTACTTCTGCTGGCTGGATTCGAACTAGACCCGACTATGGAATTAAACCCTAATAATGACTGTTCGGTTCAAGACGTTATAAACACTTATATCAGGTATGTCAACTGCTCCGCTTTCTGCTTAAATTTTAATAAAATGGTAGTGAATAAAATATTAACATTTGTAGAATCTATATAAACTGCTGTTTGTAGAAAATGCAACACCATGAAGGAATCATCAGAATCAAATGAAATATTATTTTAATAATGGATATAGGATATTATGCAAATTAATAAAGTTTCAGAGCCATCGCGCGTGCGTGGCGCGCGCAGCGCCCTCTGAATTGATGCTGAAAGCGTATAAATAAAGTGCTGTAGCGGGACGTTGAAAATAGTCTATGATTATTTGTTAGTGGCAAACGTTTAGTGAGACCTGAGTATGCCTCCACGACGGAAGAATAAGAAATTCAAGCAACTTACGGAGTTTGAACGAGGGAGGATAATCGGCCTTCGAGAAGGAGGATTTTCCTATCGCGCAATAGCAGCTCGTATGCAGCGGAACAGTTCCACAGTGATGCGAGTTTGGAAGCAGTGGACCGACGAGCACCGAACAACTCGAAAAACAGGCACTGGACGACAGAAGGTGACGTCAGA